AAAACGACGTAAACTGCGTTCATAATGCTATGAAGGCAGTTTCCTCTGTTAACGCTAGAGGACAGTGCAGTAGAATGTAATATGAAAATACAAATAAATAAATAAAAAAATCAACTTTTGCAGTCCCCGAACACTTTCGTCCATTAAGGATATTCAGGACTGATTTGTATTATGACATCACAAGAAGTATACATCGTTACATATAAACATCAGCAATTGATGACGTATAGAAATACGACAGACACAAATAAATAACGGTACATCATTTAAAGGTTTACGTTATAAAACTGAAACAAAAATATGATATTTCAATACCAAAATGAATTTGTTGCATTGTACATTTATGTTCATTGTACATGTGTGTTCATCATACATGTGCGTTCATCGAACATATATGTTCATTGTATATGCATGCTCACTGTAAATGTATGTTCATTGTACACTATACTCATTATAAATTCCCGCTTATTCTACTTGTATGCTAATTGTACATAAAAGAATACTCATTATGCATGTATGCTCACTGTACATGCATGTTCATCGTACAGGTAGGCTCACTGTTAATGGATGCTCATTGTAAAAGTATGCTCACTGTATATGTGTGGTAATTTTAAAGGTATGCTCACTGTACATGTATGTTCATTGTACATGTATGCTCATTGTTTATGTAAACTCATTGTACATGTATGCTCACTGTACATGTATGCTCAATGTACATGTATGGTCACTGTAGACGTTTGTTCTTTTTCATATTTTCTAACTGTTTTAGTATGGTTATTGTACATGTATGTATGCTCATTGTATATGTTTTCTAACAGTACATGTATGCTCACTGTACATATATCCTCAATGTACATGTATGTTCATTGCACAAATATATTCTCACTGTACATGTATTCTCATTTCACATGTATGCTCACTGTACATGCATGTTTATTGTACTTGTATGCTCACTGTACATGTATGTTCACTGTACATGTATGTTCATTGTACATGTATGCTCACTGTACATGTATGTTCATTGTACATGTATGCTCACTGTACATGTATGATCAGTGTACATGTATGCTCATTGTACATGTATGCTCACTGTACATGTATGATCAGTGTACATGTATGATCATTGTACATGTATGCTCATTGTACATGTATGTTTACTGTACATGTATGTTCAATGTACATGTATGCTCACTGTACGTATATGCTCACTGTACATATATGCTCACTGTACATATATGTTCACTGTAAATGTATATTCATTGTACATGTATGTTCTTTGTACATACTTTCTTACTGTACATGTATGCTCACTGTACATGTATGTTCATTGTACATGTATGCTCATTGTACATGTATGCTCACTGTACATGTATGTTTATTGTACATGTATGATAATTGTACATGTATGCTCATTGTACATGTATCCACACTGTTCACTGTACATGTATGTTCATTGTACATGTATGCTCACTGTACATGTATGATCAGTGTACATGTATGCTCATTGTACATGTATGCTCACTGTACATGATTGTACATTTATTCTCATTTTACATATATGCTCATTTTACATGTATGACCATTGCGGATGAATGCTTATTGTACATGTATGCTTACTGTACATGTATGCTCACTCTACATGTATGCTCACTGTACATGTATGATCATTGTACATGTATGCTCACTGTACATGTATGATCAGTGTACATGTATGATCATTGTACATGTATGCTCATTGTACATGTATGCTCACTGTACATGTATGATCAGTGTACATGTATGCTCATTGTACATGTATGCTCACTGTACATGATTGTACATTTATTCTCATTTTACATATATGCTCATTTTACATGTATGACCATTGCGGATGAATGCTTATTGTACATGTATGCTTACTGTACATGTATGCTCACTCTACATGTATGCTCACTGTACATGTATGATCATTGTACATGTATGCTCACTGTACATGTATGTTTATTGTACATGTATGATAATTGTACATGTATGCTCATTGTACATGTCTCCCCACTGTACATGTATGTTCATTGTAAATGTATGCGTATTGTACATGTATGCTCATTGTACATGTATGATTACTGTACATGTATGGTCATTGTACATTTATGTTCACTGTTAATCTATTTTCATTATACATGTATGCTCACTATACTTGTATGATCATTGTACATGTATCATTGTTGTACTTGTATCTTTATGCATGTTTATTGTACATGTATGCTCACTGTACATGTTTGCTCAATTCACATGTTTGTTCAATGTACATGTATGTTCACTGTACATGTATGCTCATTGCACATGTATGCTCACTGTACATGAATGCTCATTGTACTTGTATGTTCATTTTACATGTATGTTCATTGTACATGTATGCTCATTGCACATGTATGTTCACTGTACATTTTTGCTCATTGCACATGTATACTCACTGTGAAGTAATGTTCATTATTCATGTATGATCATTGTACATGTATGATAGTTGTACATGTATTTTCACTGTACATGTATGATTTTTGTACACGTATGCTAATAATACATGTATGTGAATTGTACATATATGCTCATTTCACATGTATGATTGTACATGTATGTGCACTGTAAATGTATGTTCATTGTATATGTATGATCATTGTTCAAGTTTGCTCACTTTACATGTATGTTCTTTATATTTTTTTGCCCACTGTACATGTATGATCAATGTACAGGTATGTATGCTCAATATACATGTATGTTTTGTACATATAAGCTCACTTTACTTGTATGCTCACTGAATTAATGTTATTTGTAAATGTATGCACACTGCACATATATTTTCGTTCTACATGTATGCTCACTGTAAATGTATGTTCATTGTACATGTATGCTCACTGTACATGTATGATCAGTGTACATGTATGCTCATTGTACATGTATGCTCACTGTACATGTATGCTAATTGTACATGTTTGATAATTGTACATGTATGCTCATTGTACATGTATCCACACTGTACATGTTTGATAATTGTACATGTATGCTCAATGTACACGTGTGCTCACTGTACATGTATGGTAACTGTTCATGTATGCTCAATGTACATGTATGGTAACTGTTCATGTATGCTCACTGTACATGTATGTTCATTGTACATGTATGCTTATTGTACATGTATGCTCATTGTACATGTATGCTAATTGTATATGTATGCGCAATGCAAATGTATGTTTTTGAACATGTATGCGCACTGTAAATGTATGTTTATTTTTTATGTATGATCACTGTACATGCATGTTCTTTTCACATGTTTTTAACTATACATGTATGCTCATTGTACATGTATGTAACTTGTACGACGTGTGTGATCATTGTAATGTAGGCTCATTGTAACTGTTCGCTTATTGTGTTTGTATGTTCATTGGGCATGTGTTTCGTTGCACATATTCGTTCATGATGAACGTACAGGAGCAATGAGAATACAAGTGCAATGGACAAACATATATATACAATGATCATATCTGTACAACGAGCATACCGGTATAATGAGTATGCGTTAGCACAAAACTGCATATACACTGAAGAGACATAATAAATGAGTGTACTTAAAACATACACATATCTGTACAACGAAAATACACGTGCAATGAACATACCTGTTCAATGAACAAACGTGTACATGATTATACATACGAAATTAACATATATGTAATATGAGCATACACATAAATGTACATACCTAATGTTATTTATGCTCATTGTACATACATTCTCTTATCATCACTCCTTTACTATATAACAGAACAGTACAGGTTAGGGGTTGTTTTTCTTCTAACAACTATTTTATTTTCAAGTGAGGGACGTCCAAATGGAACATCAATGACGTGAAATCACAAAAATGTTAACATTTCAATACTACGGCTCGGAAACTGCAGTACGTTTTTGTGCTTTCTGAGCAGATGGGTTTATCAAGTAATCCAATAACCACCCTATAAAGAATCAAGCTCATATCATTGAAACAACTTGTTGTTTGATTTTTTGAGTTTGATTATTTACATACCACTTGTATAATTATATAACTAACGCCGTACTAAAGTAACCCGGCATGAATAATAAGCTGTGTTTACCTGTGCGTCCGTATCTCACTAAACAGTAATTAATGAGAAACCCGTACTATCAGTAACAAGAAATAAAATGTGTCCCGTAATATGGAATTAAATACCGGGGCATTCAGCTCATCTTGAATTAAATTCCGAGTCATTCAGCTCATCTGATAAAAAAGCAAGATATTCATAAAACTCTTCTCAACCTAGAATTCTCCGTAGGAATGCATAACTAAGGTTAAGATAAGTTTCTGAAACCAATATGTTTTCCTTGAATTAAATGATAGTAACCTACTGGTAAACACAAAGTTAAGTGATCACCGCAGTGAAATATAAAACCTGTCCAATTATTGACCCCTAATTAAATCAGTCTTAAGTGTTATGACAGTACCCCAGCCCCACTGTGTGATAACAGTACCCCCACCCAACTGAAGTTGTTGATGATCGAAGTCGCAGTTATTTTATCTTTGTTGGGTTTTTTAGGGTGGGGGAGTGATAGTCATCCTAGGAGAACTCAACCATATCTATAAAAATCTATACACATGTTTAGTATCATGTTAGTATGTATAACTTAAATACTGGCCGATGTACAAGTATAACTTCGATTGTCTCCAAGAGTTTATGTACTATCCCGTGCTGACCAACTCTCAATCTCTCATCATATTTCACGGCCCGAAGAGGAATCAATGTCTCTGGTGTCTCCAAGCTCATGGTAACAAAGAAAAGACAGGAACACGCGTAAGGGAGGGATGCATCTGGGAATTGAATTCGGTCGGAAAAATATTTTATCCCCAGATGCAACTGGTGTAGGCAGAACTGTGAAGTTGCTGAATGTAATGGTGTATACCTTAAATACTGGTCAGATGTGCAAGTATTACATTGATTGTTGTCTGATTGCCTTTAATGTACGTGTTGTAAACGTTCTATCAACTCCCTGGCAGGGTTCATATATTGAGTGTATGATCGAACACCAAGTGATTCCCTATATTCCCTGAGAGCCCTATGTGTGTCTCCAACCGTTTCATAGCAGATCCCCAAGAGATTGTGTACTATCCAGTGTCCACCGACTCCCTGTCTCACGTCAAACTTTACGGTCTGAAGATGAATCAATGCTGTGTCACGTCTCCTAGAGTCTCCCAGTTCATGGTAACACAGAAAAGACAGGAAAACAGCGTAAGGGAGGGGTGGAACTAAGAATGGAATAAGATAGTCACGGAAATGTTTCAACACCTGTAGAAACTGGGGTGGGCAGGACTGTAGCAGGTGTGGTGGAAGGATTTCACGGTTACTTGTGATCACCTGTTGTAATTGGGATGGACAGAACTGTAAAGTGTGATGATTGAACGTCATATCTGTTACAAATACCTGACATTTTTGCAGTAGGTTGTACCCACGTCCACAATAGCGCTGTTCATACCTGTTCCAATCCTCCTTACAGTCTATGATACCATCAAGATAATGTTTGGGTGACGACGTCATGTGATCACACATTTCCAGTGTCTTCATGAAGTTCCCAGTCTGATAGTAATATGTTGCCAAACCAAGTAGGCCTGTACTTGTAAACATTGTTGAAAATGGTCTTAGTAGGTTCTTGCATTTCCTAAGAGATTTGTACTTCTCTTTATTTCCTCTAGCATTGATGTGTTCACCGAATATCTTCATCGCTTTACCAGATAGTGACTGACCAGTAGCGCAGTAGCCAATGAATTCATCTATGTCCGACTTTGATGCTGAAAGTAGTTCCAACGACGAGATAATATCAGGAGAAACCCTGATATAACGAAATACAGCACTGCTTAATAATGCTTCGTCACGTTCACATTCTGAATATGTTGGTGGAGGTAGAACATATTCCCATACTCCATTCCTCACACTACTGATACGCTCTCCTATGGTTGGTTGTATGACTGTTCCAACTGAAAGACATTTCCAGTTCATACCATTGAGATCAGTGAGATAACGAAGAAGTTTCTGTTGATTTTGACCATGAACTTTACCAAGAAACATATTATTTGTCTTAATAAAGTAATTTGGACAATGTCCTGCTTTCACCCAATTGACCAACATCTTCAAACAAAACATAAAACATAGGAACGTATGTTTTTCCTGCCAAAATGATTCACTTGTGCCTTCTACTGCATATAATATAATTGTTTTTATAATATAGGAAGACAGAATATCTGTTTCATCTAGCATTTGTTCTAATGTTCCAGATATCTGTTTCATGAAGTACTTAAGAAGTCCATATACTAAAAACTGGACATGAGTTAAAGAATGAAAAAGTTTCCTTTCCGCAGTCGTGAATGATATCCTCCACTGTAGGGATTGGTCAGCAGCAGACGTTTTATCCCCCACAGGGACTAGATGACAGCCACCTTGTACTATCTGATCTCTCAAATTTTTATTTGGCCAGTCATGTAGGCGTGGCCTATTCATTCACTCATTAGCTTCGCTTGGCCAATCATAACAAGGTAAGGAAAATACAACATCCATATCCGATGATTTGTAACTGTATTCATGCTTTATTTTAACTGCTGGGCCATGACCCTCCATATCTAACTGTACCATATGACTCGCTATATCAATTTGTATCCGTTTGTATATTTCACTTGATATGAATTGTGAATCACCTACTGCAACAATAGATGGATCAAACTGCCCCTGATGAAGTAGTTCCAGGTTTACATAACCAGGTCGGCATCTAGCCTTTCTCATCATTAAAACTAATTTATTTACGGTGTCTAGTTGATTACTGATATCCTGATCTGGACACAAAACTACAGCATTTGTATCAATAAGCATCCAGTCGTTGTCCGATCCAAAAAAACTCATTCCTTCTGACCTACTTCCCGTTAACACAAATTCTTGTATACTTCCTCTAGCATTTTGAAGTTGTTCCGCCACCACTATCGTTCTCTGCCTGACAGCCACTGTCTCCCGGCTTCCTGAAGACCTGTCTAGGATGTGATACAGAATCCAACACTTCTCGTACAGCTCACCCTGATCAGACATCTCAGTGATACGTCACAGATCCTGTAAATATAACATAGAAACAACAATGTCATATTTTAAAAAGTAGAATAGTTTACTTCTGACTGATTATTCATTTTAGTAAGAATACAATTTGTTTGACTGCTACCATGAACGAAACCGTTTTTAAACACAAATACTACACAATTCTGTTTGGTAGACATAGCTTTACAATAGTTCAAACGTACACTCTTTTCATACTTATAGCATGTGTTATTAAATGTTATACTTAATTCTTTTCTGATAAGTATAATACTTCATTAGAAGCAGTTGAAAGTCAATTCATATGACCCTGATGACCATGAGAGTGAATCAGGGTTATTCATACACGAAAAAATACAACCTTGCAAAATAAAATACCTAAATGAAAACATTATTCTACAACTCATGATAATACAGAGTTCATATTGACCAATATGACATTGAATATCTCGCCCTCATTCATTTAAACAAGCGCACGTCACCATGTTGCAGGAAAATTATAATGAGATCAGACCTTGTGATGGTATTAATCATTTGAAGCGTTATCCATATGCAATTTTTATTTTTAAAGTACTTTGCAAACGATCTGTATACAAGTGTGTCAACAAAAACAACAGAGAAATGAATCAATTGCAACGTTTAATTATTTACAAAATATACAGTATCTAATACATCTGAAGGGCGACCCGACATTGGATAGCGCTAATTTGTTTAGAATGTGTTTGCTTTAGATTGTAGCCGGTTGAGAGAAATTTAAGGACCGGAACGAGCAAGTTGTTTTTACATGGATTACTTTGCTAACTTTTCTGAAACAGCTCTGGTTTTCGGATAGAAAGGGTCCGGTTAATACAGGGTTTAACTACTATGATTATATAGGAAATATGCNGGGGGGGGGTGGGGGGTGTTACGCTTGTAGTCCTGTGCATTGTTTTATTAAGGTTAATTTTAAACCTAAAAGTATCATGATTACTGCTTGACTGCAATATTCTTGACCAATTCTCAATACTAAAGATTCATTTTGTTTAATCTACTAAAAACCAGTCAAACTTAGATGTTTCGAATTTTGCGGGACCATCGAGGAAAATTCGAAACATGGGGACTTTGACTCATTAAATTGAATATCGAACATCGAGATCGTGCACATTAGACAGATTCTGATGTGACGAAACACAAGCTACGGAAATAACAATATTCTTTATTTACACATTGGCGTTTGCATTGTAATCTTATCTTCGTTTGTCAATTATTTTTCGGAGTCTGTGCCCCGTTTTGATGTGGTCCATCACGTCCTGCGCCATGTTGCTGAGATTGATTCCCGTTGGCCGTTTGTTTTCGAAGAAAAACCCGTTATGACAATCGATTTTATTAAATTTCACAATGGAAGTTTATTACCTAGAAACAATGAATACCGGATAGTGTCAAAATGGTCACCAGTTCTTTCCACTGGATACCGAAACATGAACCTGAATGTATTAAAATGGCCATGGGACATTTCATTAGTTTCGTACATGTACATTGACTTCGATTTACTATTGACTATTGACCTAATATCAGATATGTTGGCCTCTTGGTTATTGAGAAATCGTTAAAAAGTTTAAGCACATTTGGCCCCTGTGACCTTGAATGTAGATCAAGGTAAAGCATTTGAACAAACTTGGTAGACCTTCATCCCAGCATGCTACAGGCCCAGTATCAGGTATATGGGCCTCTTGGTTATTGAGAAGAAGTTGTTTAAAGATGTTAGCACATTTTACCCCTGTGACCTTGAAAGTCGGTCAATGTCATTTATTTGAAAAAAAATCGTAGCCTCTCATCCAGGCATGCTATAGGCTCAATAGCATGGTCCTCTTAGTTATTGAGAAGTTGTTTTAAGAATTTAGCACATTTGACCTCTGTGACCTTGAAAGGCAGGCAAGATAATTCATTTGAACATGCTACAGGCACAATATCAGGTCTCTGGGCCCCTTGGTTATTGAAAATATTTCCTTTAAAGAGTTCAACCTATTTGACCAATGTAACCTTGAAAGTAAGTCAAGCCTGTATGCTACAGGCACAATATCAGGTCTCTGGGGCCTCTTGGTAATTGAAAATTCGTTTAAACATTTTACCTCATTTCAGTTATTGAGAAGAAGATGGGAAAAGAGCAAAGGGAAAAGTTGATGCCCGAGGGCCGGACGATGGCCAGATGACGGATGCCGCACTAGGGCAAAAGCTCACTTGTCCTTGGCAGGTGAGCTAAAAACAGATAGGACAGACAGACGGAAAACCTGATTACTAAAGATGTGCAGGGGTTCTAACAACAAATTGTGTAATTGAATTAGAGAATCCCACTTTGGGACCAACTTGTTAGTTGGTTGAAGGAAGTTTAACGTCTACACAACATCTGAGGTCATATGTGGATGGTATCATGGTTGCATGATACGTATTGTGTGTGCCTGTGTGTTGCTTCCAGCAATAAATATAATTTGACATGAGGATCGAACTCAAAACTGTAATCCATCATTCAAGAAAAAGTCAAGCCCAAGTTACGTATTGATGTGGCAAGTGGTCGCGAAAACAAATACAGTTAAAAATAAGAATTTCCTATGTGCAAAGGTCTATAACTCCAGAAAAAATAGAACAATGACACTGGATTCTAACTCAAACTATAATCCATTATACATGTACAATAAGTTACAAATAATATGGAAAACAGTAAATTATGAGAATTTCTTATGTGCATAAGGGTCATTACTCCAGTCAAAAATGGAATTTTTACACATGGTTCATACTCTGTAACCATTATGATAAAGTCACAAACAAAGTTTCAATTTGACATGACAAGCAGTAGCGAAAATAAGTAAAAAAGAAAAGTTATTTTTTATAATTTGCTATGTGCAAAGGGCCATACCCCAAGCAACTAATTAAATATTGACACAGGGTTTGGACTCTAACTGTAATCCATTATGATAAAGCCACATACTAAGTGGCAAGCGATAACGAACAAAGTATGGCAAACAGTTAATTACGAGAAAATCCAATATGCAAAAGGCCATACATGCATAAGAATAAAAATTTGGCACGTGGTTCGAACTTTATCTGTTATCTTTTATGATTAAGGCACATACAAAGTTGCAAATTGATATCGTAAATGGTGGGGAAACAAGTCGGGAAAACTTAAATGGGACTGCCGCCGTCAACGACAACGTGTGATGACGGACAGAGTGACCCTTTAGTGTTCGCCATGCTTCTCAGGCGGCACGATAAAGCACATAAAGGAAGAACAGTGGAGAAAGGAGGAAATATTTAAGATACCAAGTGCGTTGCAATGGGCAGAAGATCTATGTTGGTCTGTCTAATGTCCCCGAAGTAGATTCGATGACTCAAGTAGAAAATTGTTGAATCAAGTAATTTTGAAAAATAGACTGAAGGGACATAACTCTTCACGTCATTTGTGCTGATCTGACAGATCTGTCAATTCAAGATCTATCTGTAAACCAAATTTAATAAGAATTACAGCTTATTATATGTTTCACATGTCTGAAATTATCTGACATAGTTTAAAGCAAAACTTCAAAAGTCACTAAAATTTCTGGATATTTTTTCCAAAAACAGCGAAAAAAGAAACTACATTTTAAAGAAAGTGGTAGCTATGGGAGCACCCTATATATGTTATAAACATAAAAATACTGATACTTTGCAAAACAATAAGCAAATTTCGCAAAGCCACCAATTCTCAAAAATCACCTAAACATAACATATTTTATCTAAAAGGAAACTGGGAACGTATGGATGTACCAACCTATATCCGATATATAACAGAAAGGACTGTGAGGAAATCGTGTGAGGGACACAACTCACAGGAACATTATCAAAAGGAGGACAATCAACGATAACTGCACAAATACTTAGAGTACATAGCAAGTGTTCCTAGTTTAAAACAGAGAGTATGAGTTTTATTTGAAACAAATTTTAAATTGTATAAGAAATGGTTCTAAGGGGCACCATCTAAACGAAAATTACCAGACATTCTTCGACCTATAGGAATGAACATCCAGATTGCATTTATCAGTATAGTTACATGCTGTGGCCTGCATGTTGTAAATTTTCACGTTTTGGCCTTTTGTAACTTAATTTCAGCTTTTTTGATGAATTTGTGCATTTTAAGATATCTCCCATTCTCATAAAGATGTATATGACGTGCATAACAAATGGAAAAAAATAAATATGAATGATAAACTGCTAGAATAAGACGTATAGGAAAGCAAACAAAGGGGCACAACTCTTCAAGTTCGTGAAATTCCAGCCCTGAATTTCTGCTATTTTTAGGATGCTTCTACACCAAAGTCAAAAAACTTCGACTTCAACTTCTGACAGGTCAATGACTCTTGATGAGACTTAATAAGATGTGGAATATCAGACCAAAAAATACTGCAGTATATTTTTATGTCGACTTATAAATCAGTGGATATGTTAACCACTGTAAATATGAATGTTGCACAGAAACATTTTAACATTTAAGAGAACACATATATTTTCTTTTACATTCCTTTTAATCACAGGTTTAGGGAATGTATGGTTTAACTGTTGTTTGTTTATGTTTTAGTGGATCGAAGAGATACATGTATAACCTTTTTTTTTAAACACAGCAGGATTCTAAAAGATATGATTAAGGTTCCAGACTATTTTCGGTTATCAGCATCTTTTGAGGAAACTCCATGTATTGTTGCAGAAAAATGTCAACAAATAATATGAAGTGGATATAGAAAGCTCAATGCCTGCTTTATATTTGTAGTAAAGTTGTCAAGGAATCATATATTTGGCAGGCCTTTCTTATTCATGTAACAGGGATAGATTTATGTATTTGCTTTTATGTATGTTTGTTTACTAAGTCCGTCCGTAGCGCGTCGTCTGTCCGTGTATATATTTCATACTTCGTGTAATGTAACTACCCCGTCCGCGTGTTGTAGTTTATGCTGTGATGTTATGTCTACAGGTGTATTGTGGTGTTCTGCTCGTTA